GGATATATTTGATAGCAGTACCAGAATACCCCTCAGAGCATGGAGATGCCAGGAAGAGTCAGAATGAGAGCTGTGCTCTATAGAACTGATTGTTGAGAGTTTAAAGATTGTATTATAATAAGAAGGGTGGTCTCCGTTGCTTCAGAAGACATTCAGTGTAAGAATTTGGTAGTTACTTCACAGACTATTGAAGGGGCCAAGATACCCCCATATCACGGATTTATCCTTATAGAGAGGTAGCTGCATTAAGCTGTCATAGTTTGACAGTGCAAGTGAATAAGGATCATCTAACCAACTACCCTTGCTTTAACTTATGCCTACCAGTCATCCTTCTGATTATGATTTGGCTAAGAGGTTTGCTAACAGGAAGAGCGCTTCCTGACTTACACATTAGTGTATAGTCTGCCTCCTTCTCTAATTTCTGGCTGGCTTTGAAATTGGTTGATGTGATTCTGCCTCCTGGAATCTAATGTGTGCCAGCAAACTTGAATTTCCAAATACTTTACGCTAAGGAATAGAACTAGTCCAAGGTCCTGTTCTTAGAAGTTCAACTTAAACCTCTCCAGTGGACACTCCCCTGTTCCACTTAGAAATAAGTTTTTTCTCTCAAAGAATTGATAGCGTATATACCCCTTGCTCTTTATTTCGGTATACCATGGCAGGCCAGCTGCCTGTTTTTGTAAGTACAGTTTAATGAAGCACAACCATGTTTATTCTTCTATGTGTTATCTATGGTTGCTTTTGTGCTACAGCAGCAGAGCTAAATAGCTATAACAAAGACCATATAGCCGTCAAAGCCAAAAATATTTACTATCTGGTTCTTTACAGAAAAGTAAAGTGTAGAAGATTATTGGGTGTTAAGAATCATTGGAAATTCTTCACAGATTCTCTGAACCCACTTGAAAACTGTGTATTGCAATCTACCCCAGTCTCTTTATAGATAAAATGTAATTTCAGAAACAAATCTGCCAAATTTCTTTTTATGGGGTACCTGTTGCGTACTAGGTTCTTTTGCATTGGTAGCCATAGTTGTACTGATCATTGAGTGGTGAATTATAACAGTTGGACCCAGACCTACGTTTTATGACTCCAAGTTAAGGACTCTTCACTATAACACAGAAGTGTAACTAACGTGTATAATAGTGTGACTTAGACTAATACAATAATGCATGATTACATTAGATGTCCAGTTGAGTACAGATGCTTACCTGTCCCAGCAGTTTGTAAAAATAGCTCTTGGGAAATGTATTGTAGGTTTGACTAAAGTAACAACTGCTATTCGTTTTTCTGAAGTTACTGTTCTTGCACCAACAAAAATATTGTGTACCATTTTTGGCAGATAACTTACATGGCTTTGCAATTTTGTTTTCACATGTTTCTTAGGTAGTTAACCTGCAGTACAGTGAAGTTCAAGACCGGGTCATGCTCACTGGCCGCCACATGGTTCGAGATGTGAGCTGCAAAAACTGCAATAGCAAACTGGGATGGATCTATGAGTTTGCCACTGAAGACAGCCAGCGTTATAAGGAAGGCCGTGTGATCCTAGAACGTGCGCTAGTTCGAGAAAGTGAGGGCTTTGAGGAGCATGTACCATCTGATAACTCTTGAAGAAAAAGAGATAAATCCATCTTTTTCCCAGGTCTTCTTCACTGAAAACAAAAATCTACTTACATACACTGTCACCTTAGCATCAGAGTCGGATTCATGAACTGTGGAACAAGAGGTTGTGAGAATCTATGATGGAACCTTTCTTTCCTTCTTTCTTTTTTTTTTTTTTAAATTTTCTATTTTCCATCCAACAGCAGTGTGTAGAGAGAATATTATGCGGATGCCGTTAATTTTTTTCCCCCCTATGTTTACATCTTGAGGCAGAATAGTCTATCTGCAGCTACATGGTGGGCTATGTGAGGAAAAATATCTGGACCATTAGAGTGAAAAAGTGTTTTATGTAAATTTTGAAAGGAAAATGTGTCAAGAGCATGGTTCTTAAATTTATTTGGGCTTCATTTTAAAACTTTTTTTTAAACCCAGTTATTTCACTTGATTTGCTAGCTTCAGAGAAGAGATCCGAATTTGTGACCAGCGCTAAAGGTTCAGTGTTAGTATGGCTTGTGCTGGCCATTGTGCCATATTCTTGTTGGAGATGAACCGTAGCATCAGAGCCCATTCTTCCTTGTCAGTCTTGACCCAAAGATGTCACCATTCCTAGTTACTTGTCACCACATAATTGGTGTTGATTGGAAACTTTTCCTGATATGGGGCAGAACTGCTTGGTTGTCTTTTCCATGTAACTTAAGCATAGTAATATAAATAAAGTAATAGTTGGATGTTTTTGGTCCTGTGTTGCTTTTAAAATCACCTTTTAAAAGAGCAGGGTATTTGTTAAGTAATTTTCATAGTAGTGTTTCTTTTCATCTCTTAAGCTAAATTGTGTATAAGATTCTACTTTGTTTAAATTAAAGCATACTGTTTAAATCCACAGTATTGCATTTAGAAAACAGTTGAACAGAATGTCAGTGTGCATTCATGCAGAAAGCATTTCATCTGCATCTGTTTTAAAAGGAGGGAAGTGAAGCAGCCTATCTAAAACTACTGCTTTGCAAAGTGTTTCAACCTATCCTCCTCAGTTTTGCATTGATTTTGACAAGTCTGTGGAGCCTGATAGTTACATCAAAGGACTAGATCTTCTAGCATTATTTTCTCAGATCTTCCCTCAGAAGTTTAGCTGTTGAAATTGAAATTCTACTTGGCCCCTTCAAATAGAAAGGGATCAAATTTGACTCAGGGGGTTATTTTAGCCCAAAATTTACAACATTATGAAGTATTAAAATGTAAATGTTTCTCTATCCAAACTATTTCTAGATATTCGAGTATTTCTGGTGGAATAAATGGCGTTAAAATTGGCTAAATGAATGAATGGATGTTTGCTCAATTTCTAGGTCTTTGTCTAGAGATGAAATTTGCCTCAAATTAGTTAGCAAAATCTTTCTGTTATTGATACTAGATGTGATTTCTGAGTACAGTTAGGATTAAGTTTCTCTTATTTGCCTTTGGGCTCTTGGTTAGAGGCATAGGCCTCTGATTTGGTAGGTGTATAATATTGCATTTGAGATATGTGGACACAAATTCTTCTCTTTCCTTCACCATGGACTAAATCTTCATGCATTAAGACACAACACTGATTCCCATTCATTTTCATACCAGCCTTTGATTATATGCAGATTCCTAGTAGCATGCCTTACCTATAGCACTATGTGCATTTGCTGTCACAATAAAGTATATTTTGTCTTGCATTGGTGCAAAACTGCTACTTATTTTCCACTATCCTTGTCTAGTAATCATCTTAGTTTTTATCTATGAACACATACATCTTACCTTTGAGTAGCTATAGCTTTTTCAGTTGGCAGTGATAAAGTGACATTCTGGTTTAGGTAACTCTACCTAATTTCCACATGGAGATACTGAATTTACAAATATTAACTTCTCTGAGATGACTTTTACCTCAGACACTGACACCTATAATTCAGTATATATGAACAAATAAAATGTCATAGCACTAGGTTAACTTTTAGGTGGCTGCACCAGGTACCATAGCAGCAAGTTCCTCTACACCCTTCCTTTTAAAAACTTCATTTGCAAAAAAACAAAAACAAATAGCAATATGGAGGATCCAGTCAGATTGAATTGTTTACAGAAAAGCAAACACACTGTGCACTTGAGATGGGAAACCACTAGTGGGAATGATTTTGCTGTGGGAAGGAAAAGTTAACCAAATACAGGTGAATATACTGTATAATGAGTGGCTTACTGAAATGTGTACAGAGACTGTCCTAAAGTGAATATTCTGAGTTAAATATCTGTTAGTAATTATGTAATGATTTAAGTTACAATTGTGAGTGGCTACTTTGGGATTGGAGGAGAAAAATAGCAATACCATAACTGTTTTCTATTTTCAGTTTTCAATACCTATTCATAAAAGTCATATATGGGGTGTTTAAATGTAGAGTCTGGGCCCTAGCCCAGGCCTAAATCAGTCCACAGGTAATTTTTTTTTTTTTTTTTTTTTTTTCGGGGGGCGGGGCCCCTCCCTGTTGTGGCCTCTCCCGTTGCGGAGTACAGGCTCCAGACGCGCAGGCTCAGCAGCCATGGCTCACGGGCCTAGCCGCTCCGCGGCATGTGGGATCTTCCCGGACCGGGGCTTGAACCCGTGACCCCTGCATCGGCAGGCGGACCCTCAACCTCTGCGCCACCAGGGAAGCCCCACAGGTAATTTTTGATCAGGCAGGATTTGGAAACTACCAACTGTACAATATTCAGAGACAGGTTTATGGATTTCATTTTTACAACAGTTAAAAATACCTCACAGTTCAAACAGATCCACTAATTAATTGCATGTCACTTTTTAACACTGGTTTCCCACGAGGAGCCATATAAAACCAAAACTTAATCTAGGAAAGGTGTGAATTGGGAATAGAGCAAGATTAAACTGAAAAACTCCTTTTAAGGTAGCACATTGCAATGATAAGAAGATATCTGTTATAGAAATAAAGCACAACTAAGAGGAGAAATTAGCATGGATACTCATCCTAAGTTGGATATGAATTGTATGGCTTCTTTATTTTAAAATATTGGTACTTCCCAAATTGAAACTTTTCTACATTAAGGCAAAAAAATATACATTTCAAAGCACCATTAAGGGTTTTGTGATCCTGGGCATTGCTTTACTTATTTATTTTAATTAATTAATTTATTTTTGGCTGCGTTGCGTCTTCGTTGCTGCACGCGGGCTTTCTCTAGTTGGGACGAGCGGGGGCTGCTCTTCATCGTGGTGCACGGGCTTCTCATTGCGGTGGCTTCTGTTGTGGAGCACGGGCTCTAGGCATGCAGGCTTCAGTAGTTCTGGCACACGGGTTCAGTATTGTGACTCGCAGGCTCTCGAGCGCAGGCTCAGTAGTTGTGGCGCACGGGTTTAGTTGCTCTGCGGCGTGTGGGATCTTCCTGGACCAGGGCTCGAACCCGTGCCCCCAGCATTGGCAGGCGGATTCTTAACCACTGTGCCACCAGGGAAGGCCCATATTTATGTTCTTTAAAATCATCTGCAATTTGACCATTTTGGGAGGCTTGTTAACAGTGAATTATGTCTCCATTCCCTCCCACTATACTGGATTGGTCCCTGAGGTGGAGCCAAGAAATCAGATTTTTTACAAAACTGCAAAGATAACCTATTGCTAAGATGTGAGAATCACTATTCAAAGGGTTGTTCAAACAAAATAATGTATAGTTTTGGTGTGCTACCACCTGGTAAACGCAGGTGTTTATCACAGGAGGCCCACAGGCTTAGAAGTATGACTAAGAAAAAGCAGATTAATTTCCACCTGCTTTTTAAAAACAGTGGCTCTTTTAAACAGTTAAGTACAATAGTCAGATAAACTGATGTTTAAAGAGAGGAGAAGTTTCGGGAAGAGTTTCTAGAAAGATCACTAGACTTTATAAAGACCTGTCTTCAATGCTGTGATTTATCAGCTGCGTGACTGGGAAGTATGTGACTTAACCTCTGAACCTTAGTTTTCTCAAGTATGAATTATGAAAACAAGCCCTATCTTAAATGATTCTGGTTAGAATATAGTGAAATACATGGCCTAAAAACCTGTTAAGTATCATGCAAATGTTTGAAATAACTACTGTTTTTTTTCAATAATCCTGAACAACACTTCACAACTTAATTTTGCTCTAAATTAAAGAATGACCAGAATGCTTTCAAAGTTTTATAAATCCTTCCTGGTCTTGATATGTACTGCTAAATCTTTAAGGGAATTAGGGCATGAAATCTGCTGTTTATCAAATGTTACTGTCTTGACCTTTGACCATAAGAAAGCTTTCATCATCTGCTACAATAGACATTTTACTTTGCTTTCAGAAATTGTCAGAGCTTCTATTTTTGTCCTAACATGGAGCAGAAGGAAGGGAAGGTTAAAAGTTCATTAAATACAACCTCAGTGATAAAGAAAAAAGCATACAAGTTTTCTCCCCAGTCAGACAAATTTACTTTTTGAAAAGAATCCTGCAAGGATTTCCACTAAAATTCCACTAGTTACTTTTCACATCCAATTTTCTTTCTCCCGTGTTTGCCTCAGCCTATTTCACACTACTGCTATAATAGTGTTAGTTCAATTTTTAAAGAACCCTAAAATTATGAGAAACTATTTATATACCAGATCATCTCATTTTAATCCTACTCTGGTAATTTCCCCTAAAGATGAACAAGTCATCTCTCAGCCCTGGATTTCTAGTAAAGTACATAGACAGATTTTGTGTAATAATTTTAAAAACTTGTATCCAGAGCAAAGCCCAGCTTTGAAAAAAGGTATTGACCAGAGGTTTTCAGGGATTGGTGCAGTTTGAGAAACTTCACTGGTGTGCCCCTGAGTCAGGACGTTGGCTTCAGTTGTCCCCCAGAATTTCATTCCTCTTCCACTAACTGTTGGGGTGCCATGGAGTAAGCTGTCAGCATCTGGCACACTACCTTCTCAGCTGACCCGCTCTCTACCTGTAGCCCTCCCAGAAAATACTGGGCAAAGTGGAGGCAATACTACGAAAGCGTGAAATCCGTGAGTATTCTCTGTCCCTGGCTAAGCCACCTCCCTTCCTCCAGCCTCTAAGCCAACTGGAAGGTGCTCATAGACATTTCTGAAACCTGCCAGTATGCCAAAAGGAGTCAGAAGTATTTCCACCCCTTTCCTAAGAAAGTCTTAGGTCCTGTTTCAGAGTGGCCTCCTTAGAAATTGAGTTTCAAAGATGGGGGCAGCGGGGTCTTTTTAAGGACTTGAGTGATAAGGAGTAAAAGAGTCGAGTGGTCCCACTGAAGAAAAAACGTTTGTTAATATAAAATTAGCTGAAACCCATGCTACCAGAAAAGCACCAGTAGGTGGCAGGAGTATGCAGCATATTCAGTTCTTAAGTGCCAGTCTGGCCTGCCTTGGAAAAGTTAATATCTGGGGCAGTCTGTTCCTGTTGTTAATGGTCAGCTAACCTGAAGCGAGAGGCGATTTCACCCCACTGGAGTAGAATTGCAGGGGGTCAGATGAAATCGTCCGTGAGAAAATGCCCTAGAAACTATGAATTACTATACAAGTAATAGTACTATTTCCAGATTTTTATGGTAAGTGATTTTTTTCCGCCATGTTTGTTTTAGTATCTAAAGCTTTAGCTTGCACAACTTCAAAATTTTTTTTCAACAACTATTTTTTGATATCGTCTTTTGACAATGACAGCCTGAGGTCACAGGAACATCACAGTGTGACTTTGAAGTTAGTTAACCTCTTGAAGCCTCATTTCCTCAACTTTAAAAAAATATGGAAACTAATTTCTAGAGAACATGTGTGAAAACTATAAGCCCTACAGTATTCTAAAAACAAAACATTTCTATAAATTGAGTGAGGTTCAATGAGTTATTTAATTAGCTTAGGCTCCAGTTGCTAAAAAGTATTTGCTCGTTCATTTATCCATATTCAGCAATATCTGAGCGCCTATTACGTGTGTCAGGCAATATGCTAGTCATTAGTCAGCAACACCTGGCACCTACTTCCCAGCAGCCTTACGAAGGATGTTTGCAAAGCCCAGTACAAATCCTCAAAGCCACTGTATCAATACTGACTGTATTCCTGCTACAGGAAATGAAGACATTCAACATAGGGGTACACAAGCTCATAAAGCAGAATAAAAGGCCTTTGTTTTTCCAGCAATTAAGTTCTAAGTTTGAAAAGAGGAAACCTACCAGTTTAAATGGAAATAACAGAAATCATCTTTCCATGTGCAGTGGACTCTGAAATTGGATTAACCTTACATTCTAAAATGAGCTTCCTCTGTCTCCCTTCCAGAAGCAAATGTAAATCAGCATTTTCAGGGCACATGGAGAAAAGAAGGAACACCAGCTCACCTCCAACAGACATGCCAAGTAGAGGACTTCCGTAACAGTGAAAGGCAGGGGCCAAGGCTCAGAGCCTTTGCACAAGAAACGGCCCAGGTAAAGTGTTCTTTAAGTTGGATTGGGGGAGAAGAAAGGCGAAGGTGAAAGAATTGTAAACTTGTAGATTTAGGCGTTGTCGGATTAGTGATCTCAAACTCAGATGCCTTTGGATGCCAGACAGTTCATTAAAATAAGGAAAGTGGGCCTGGTGTAAGACTACTGAAAGGGGTGGTTATAGAGTGAAGAGGGGGAGCATATACCAATTAAAGACAGACGCTTGGTTTAAGTCAAATAAACAAAACAGCTTATTCTTTACACCTTAGGGGCTCCTGCTTACATCCCTCACCTAGTCCAACCTCTCATTTTAAACATTTGGAAACTAAGACCAGGAGAGGTGAAGTGACTAAGGCATGTTCTCTGTAAGTAGCAGAGAGAAGACTGTTTTAGGTGAGGCATTTCAACACAACCACAGAGTATGCTAGAGGTCGGATGCGTTATTCATATTTCAGAGGAGACTTTGGAGGCAGACTGCCTAAGAGCATGGACTCCGTGGCCAGAGGGCCTGTGCCTGAATCTCAGCTGTAACACTTAAGAACTGTGTGCCCTCGAGCAAGTTTCTTAACCTTTCTGTGCCTTGGCTTCCTTGTCTCTAAAATGGGGATAATAATTGTACTAACTCCATAGGGCTGTGGTGAGGATAAAATGCATCAATATGTGGAAAGTACTTAGACCTGTGACTGGCCCATAGGTATTAGCAATTCCGTTTCCAGATGAGGAAACACATACTTAGAGGTCAAGGTCACACAGCTTTACTAGAGGTCAAAAATCTGCATAGGCACACACGCGCGCACACACACACACACACACACACACACACACACACACACACACACAC